GTCGCCGGTGGTTCGTGTTGAAACAGGGGAAACTGTTTTGGTTCAAGGAAGCGAATCTCAATAGAGGATCGAAACCGCGTGGTGTTATTCCGGTGGCTAATTGCCTTACAGTGAAAGGAGCTGAAGATGTTCTGAATAAACAATTTGCATTTGAGCTTTCAACTAGGTCTGATACTATGTATTTTATTGCTGATTCTGAGGAGAAGAAGGAGTATTGGATCAATTCGATCGGACGGTCTATAGTGCAGCACTCTAGATCTGTTACTCGTGATGAAATTCTCGACTATGATAATGATAGCCGGAAATAAAATTATGGTACGTGTATCTTTGTTTCTTTTTTTGGAAATTAATTATTTTCGTGTGAATTGAGTATATAATTTCTGGTATTTGAAGCTGTAAGTACTCTGTTTGAATCATGAATCTTGTAAATTTCCAGTCATTTGTTAGTTGAAGTTTCTCCTTTGCTTTTTTGACCTGTTAAGGATTTTATCTTGCTTTTTTATCGAATTCTGATGGCACTTTAGAGGTATATAACAGTTTGTTTGGATGGTTGTTATATATGGATTCATAATATATCGGATTGTGTGTCTCGATGAATACAATGTTTGGATAGATTGTATCGTTTTCCACCATTACATAATGCCATAGAATAGGAAATCCAGGGCTTGATACTGTCCCTTGAACTTTTTATCTTAGTTTCTAGCTATATTAGTTCTTGGATTCTCGAGCTACTCGGATGTTGCTCTGTTTTACTCAACATGTCTCAATATCTGTCTCTTAAGCTCTCCTGCAAAATTACAGCATTGTAGACAGGCTCCTTCATTAGTTCTTTATTTTTATGGTAACCGAGAAATCCTGGAGGGTCAATGGCGGACAGTTCAAAGTTCGGTGGAGAATGGGTCCACCCCTCTAGATTTCTAGAGGTACCATGCTTGTCTGGAGCAGGATTTGAACCTGTGGCGTGCGTCTAACACACGTCACGCTCTGCATTTACCATTAGACCATAGCCCTGTGCTTACCTCATTGGTTAATCTTTTGTTTCTCCTTGATGGATTCTAACTTGTATTAGTGCACATTTTATCCCCAGTTTGCACAAGATCAAATGGATTTCAACTTGTATATATGCATCTTTCTAAAAATGTATGCTACCAAATTGTGGTGGTCTTGGTTTGAGTCTAAGACACATTAACTTCCCAAGGTTAGCTCTTGCTAATTTAGCTCTGCGGTGATATATTTATTTGGGTCATTTTATAGAACCTCGTTTAGATTGGTCATGTGAATTTGGATCTACATTCATTTGTAAGTGAGGGTGAACCCTCATTGTCTTGTACCATAAGCATTTTCCTTTTGGTGGTCCTTTCTGTTACAGCCAGATTGCTTCTTCTTTCTTCTCGTCCTTAATGTTTTGGTGGGTAGCCAGATGATTTTAGATAGCTCTCCCTCTAGTTATATTAGTGTGGTATAATAGAAGAAGAAAAATCCTGAGTTTCGTTAACAGTAGTGTCTAATGATCTACAAGATGTTGCATGATATGGCCATAGAGATATCTATTTACTTTCTCTCGCGGAATCAAAGAACTGGTTCTTTTTGGAATGAAATATGCTACAGATGAGAGTCTTCTAATACCTAGAGAAGTTTGTTTTTGGCGAGATTTCTCAGGCTCACATCTCCATAGTTGCCAAGTTAAGTATTTCAGCCTATTTAGTAGTTTCAGATGTTGCCTTATAACTGAAACTGATCAGAAATAAAATTTCTCTTCCAATTATTGTTTCAAGAAGTTGGTTTTTAGTTAGCCCCAGAGCTTGGTTCAAGTGGCAAAGGTGAAGGGACTTGTGACTTGGATCAGAAGTTCAAGCCCTATGACATGCCGACTAAGCCTGGTATTTAAGTGGAGGAAGGTAGAAGGTTGGACCCATTATTCCCGAGTTTTGAAGGTTGCAATTGGTCTTAAAGGATTTCTTGGTCCTAAAAAAAGAGTTGGTTATTTGTCCTTAGCTTAACCTGTACATCAAAATCAGCATTTTCTTCAACCAATATGTATGTGAATTCTATTTATCCAACTTGTGTCCTGCTGTAAAGCTGGTTTATGATTGTATAGTGGACGCAGACAAACTTGGTGACCCAAACAAAAGAAGTTTTTTTGTGACTGGATTTGCTCACTCACATCTTGACTAATTCTTCGAGGTAAAGGTTACCTCCAACCAGCACAGATATGGAGTAATTCTATCCACGAAGGTCTAAATAAGAACCACCTAGGGGTCATTTGGTAGGATGTATTAGCTATGACATTTTTTGATCCTTTCTTTGTTCGAGGCCAAAGTGCCCTTGATAATATATCAAACCAAATAGTGGGTAGGAAATAGCTCCAACATAACTAATCCCAGCATTAGTAATACACTATATATTACTATTCTTATACACTCTACAAAAAGACCTCCTAATGTGTTTGTCTCCGCTAGTATATGAACCTAAAACCTCGTGGTTTTCAACCCATAAGGAATGTGGGGTTCTCTAAGCTTTTCACTTTTCTCAATAGCTAAAGTAGTGACTATTACCACTTGTCTACTGAAGGTTGCTAGAACCAAAATGCATAATTTAACAGGACACAAGAGCATTTAAACGAAGACCCTTCAAGCAAACTAGAAATCTCAGTCCAAATGATTAACTTAATCGATATTTCAATGAAATAAACAAAGTAGTAGAAGATTAGAGCTACATAAAAATGAAATTGCTCCTCCGAGAAAACTATGGGTCATGTATTTCAATTTTAACGACTTGGCCATCATCAAATGGATCTCTCTTTGGTGCTGCTGGTGGTGCTGCAACCCTAGGTGGTCCTCTTCCCTTCTTCTTGTTCCTTGGCCTTGCCTAAACCAATTCATACCATCGGAATCAGTTCAAAATAACAACAAAAAATGTCGAAACAACTGTTGTTTTTTCACTATTTCTGTCAAATCTAACGAACATAAATTGTTAAACGTATGATGATAACACTCTAAACTTCAAAGTACTAAAAATTGGTTAGAGCATATTTAACAGACTATTTTGAATCTATCATCAACATTGGTGGTTAACGAAGAGGGTCGAGAATCATGAGGTTTCAGGTTCAAATTCTATCAGAGACAAAATAACACTAGGTAATTTATCCCATCTATTGATAAAATTAGTCGAGATGCATCTAGGTTGCAATCAAAAATAAACTTCAAAACTTTTTAGGGGTCAATTCGTCTAAATGTATGAACAATTGAATCTCAGTATAAAATTCTATAATATTAAAAGCATTAAACTCCTGCATTAATTATGCAAAACCTTATGCACCAATAATCTTATTCCAAGTGAATCTATAAATCATTTTATATGGAATTAACATTCATTTAATCAAATATGAGTTAAAAAATTATTCATATTAAGTAATTTGTGTTGATATCTTATTTATCAATTTCAACAAAACACATACTTCTCTTTTCTAAAATTTAAAGGCATAAATACATTAAATATCTCATGGAATTATTTATTCATCTTCGATACACTCGTTATTTTAAGCCAATACCTTTAACTCAAATATGCAATAAATTTAATCTCAAATTCTATTTCGAGATTATTATTCTTATTCCACGTATCAAACTAGAATGTTAGTGTAGGATTCTCCTAATATAGAGGAGGTAAGTGTTTGTTTATAAAATATACAGGGGTGTATCTGAAACTAAATCATATTAAGGAGGTCTTATCCTGCAATAAACCAAAATATACAAACTCACATTGCCAAAGGAGTGATTGAACCGCTTGCCTTTCGCCGTCTTCTTATCACCTCTACCGCAGTAAACTGAAAATGAAATCAAATCAAAATTTCAATTTCTCGAACTGAAACTTCAATCATCACAAAATTTTCACAAACAATAAATTCGAAAAGGTATGTGATTCGTACCCAATGGGAGATTTGAATCAGTGAGAGACGAAAACGAAATTGATGGTGAAGGAGATGCCGCCGTAATTGAAACGCTGCCGGCGACGGAGTGAGAACGAGAGAATGATAAATTAGGAGAAAGAGAAGCCATGGATTGAACAGTACTCATAGGAACTGAACCAACTAACAACGACGCCATTGCAGCAGCTCAACTGATAGAATTGAGATTTTATTTGTGGTGGTTCTATAGCTTCTTATTCTGTTTCTAGATAATGTGCCCTTTGTCTTTTTTTTATTCAAATACCCCTGAATTAAGGTAAAATTCACTTATTTTTCCTTGTTTTTTTTTAAAAAAAAACGTTAAGAGTTACTTGGATGGTAAATACCATTCATTTTAAACTTTAAAATTGTGAATTCAAGTTATCAGAAGATCAATTATTTTTTATGTAAAAGTATATCAAGCAATAAACTGAGACCTGAAAAGGATTGTTTGGAACGAGAAATAAGGAATAATAGTGTTATCTCAAACTCTATCTGTTCCTATTTAGTTGTCCATTTTAGAAATGACAAACATATTAATATAGCAATAATTAGAATAGTGAAGTTACAATTTTGCCCTTATTAATTATGATTTCGAAAAAGATGAATTAAAACTTAAAAATTTTCAGGAAGCTTAAATAAGAATATAATAAGAAAAAAAATTATCTTTTTTTATGTGTGAAAATAGACAAATAAATTGCAAAATGAGACGGAGGGAGTATAAATATAGTTAGATTTCATCACATACATAAAGAAATTTTAACATATATAATAATTAAGAGAAGTAATGAGATAATAGTACACCTCTATGACAGACTACTTGTCTACATTAACAAAGATATTTATTCAAAATTACTTGTCAAATTAAAAAATTAATTCTATTTTTTTCCATTTTGCACCTTAAATCGACTCTTTTTGATTAAAAATATAAATATTGTAAAGTTCCTCTTTTGTTATTAACAGATAAAGACACAAAAAATAGAATTTATGAAAAATAATTATAACAGTAAATTAGTAAAAAAATAAATATTTTTAATATTTCTTAAAAGACAAGAAAAAAGAAAAAAATGTACGTTGATATACAATGTAGGAAGTAACACAATGATTAATCATACAAGACATTCCCAATTGATTATAATTTTTTTTTTACCAAACTCACTCAAAAATACAAAAATATATTAATAACAAGTCAGTCAAAAGATGAAATACCCTACTCTACAAAAATTTGAGAACTCAATTCACTTATTATCGACCACAAAATTGACCTCGAACTATGACAGTACAGATTCATATAGTCGACCTCAACTTGTTTGGTACTGAACCGTAGATGTTGTTGTTGGTGGTGGTGAACAGCTCCCATGCAAATCACTCTACTCAATCTAGACACAGAAAATCAAGAACAAATAATATAGCCATTTCCCTACAGAAAAAAAACACAATAGATCGATCATTCACGTTAGTATTTATTCAAATATGTGATTTAAATCGACGTCTTGAGGAACTTCTTCTCCACTCTGTAGTTAAAATTACCAGAAGCATAAGGGAATCTCACCATTTTTCTCCTTAGTTTGATGCATTTCTTGAACAATTTTTCTCTGTTACGACTAAACTTCTTCACCCTTCTTGTTATTGATAGAAGAAGTACTACTTGGAAGGAAACAAGTTTCCTCGCCACCCGTGTTCCACAAGAAATTGGCATATGTACATCTATAATAAGGGTTCCTAGGCTCAGCTGCCACTGCCTGTTGGTATTTTTCTTCTGCTCCCCATAAATCGTTCTTAACCTTCCACAAGAAGATCGCGTACTGACATAGGGCCTCTGCATCCGGTGGTTCCACTTGGACTGCCCGTTTGAAGCACTCCTCCGCCCTGTTACAACAAATGACTCATCGTCTGAAATTATAGAAAACAAACTACTCTTCTATCCCAAACTAATTCGGGATGACTATATGAGCTCTATGTAACTATCAATCTCTATTTGTGTCCGTTTCATTTTGTTTTCCGAAACTACTTACAGAAAAAAGGACATGTCTTCCTTGTTCTATTCTCCATCCAAAAGCACCCATATCAAGTCATGTCTATCATTGACAGAACAAAGATTTTCACTAAGGAGATCCAAAATATAAAAGACTAAATACGAGAAGCTAAGATTCCTAAGCCCCGGGTCTATCGGAAACAGTCTCTCTAGTGTCTAGGTAGGGGTAAGATTTGTGTACACTCTACTCTCCATACACCCCAGTTGTAGAATTACACTGGGTAGATGTTGTTGTTGTACAAGAAGAAGAAAAGGGATTCAACATCTATTATGTAAGCATAAAAATAATATTAAGTTTTTATATAAAGTATAATTTTATAGGGAAGGGGTCTGTGATGAAGCCCCTTGGGCCTCCTAGCTCTCCACCCGATGTCTAAGAGGACCATTTCCGAGCTATGAATCTGAGATGCTACTTATCTCAACACTAAATCATGTTGTTCCCAAGATCGCAAAGAATTTTCCAGAAATTGCTCAAGTGATCTTTTCAAAATCTTGGAATCAGCAAACTATAATCTAAGGAATGGACTTCAAATAATTGAAATATGAGTAGCACTGTCAAAACCAAATAATGGAACTAGGCTGGCTAGAACAAGCAAACTCAATAACCCAGTTTTTGCTTATTCTTCTTGAAACTTGATCGATTATAAAAAAACAAAAAACAACTTTTGAAAATTTAGAGAAAAAAAGAGGAACTACAATATTAGGTCAAAGAGGAACTAATTCTGCATACCATTTTCTTTGACACAATAAAGAAAAGGAGTTAACACAACATGAGCAATGATAGACATAGACCGACCAAAGGTATACACAGTCATTGTGTGCTTTCTTTGTGCATTGACACAACAGAATTCTATGTTGCTCGACGTATTAGCCTTAAGTTTAGTTGTATGGCGTTTTTATATGACGACAACAACAACATACTAGTGTAATCTCAAACAGTGATGTCTAAGAAGAGTAGAGTTTATGCAGACCTGCCTCAGATAGAGATGTTGTTTATGATAGACCCTTGGCTCAAGGAAGAACGGTCCAAGTCAATCTGAACAGTAACTACAGCAAAATAATTCGATAATGGAAGTACAAAAACAACAAATATTGACAGAAATCATAGAACAAGAAACTATAAGAGCAATACTACGACTACTAGTATGGACAAAAACAATACACTACTACCAACTAAACTACTATCCAAATCCGTATCTGATCATATCATGTAATATATGTAAGACAAGGGAAGTTGAAGAAATTACCTATTATTATCTCGAACGAAGACTTTCAGAAAGTTTGCATAATTGCATAGCAAAAGAGTGTTATTAGGCTCATGTGTGAGATTCATCTGATAAACAAGATCAGTCTTATAATAGTCAACACTATTATCTGGTTCAATCTCCACTGACAATGGCGAAACAAACTTCGACATGACTTCATTATCAAAATCAATGCCCCTTGAACCACCCCTCATATTCAAAGCTTCATCTTGTATTGAATCCCACAATTCTTTCTCTTCATCAGTCCACACTACTTTTGACACATCTTGAGGAACAATATCAGGATAATGAACTTTTAGATATGGTTGATCACAATTCTCACCAGAAGCAGAGTAAACACTAAAGTTAGCCAAGAGAGTCATTACCTCCATCATTAACATAGGTGTTTGCGAAAATACTTGTCGAAAAAGACATACAAATGATGCATACATATCCCTTTGCACTTTATCAATAATCATTTCTAAATCTTCATTACAAATTGATTCCCTCATATGCAATGCATAAGTTTGCAGCTCCACAATAATAAATACCAATGAATTTAAAGCCTTTGATGTGCAAGAATTTGTTACCTTTAAATCTTTAAATCTACAAGATTCCCATTGATGTTTCTTTTGCATCATTCTAAGTGACAAAGGAAGTCCAAAACTTTTGGCTTTTTGTTCTATATGTGCCCATAAAACTTCCTCCCTTTCTGGCCAATAGGGTGCTTCTGGTTCTGCCTCAATACCAAACAAACTTGGCTCAAGAGACTCAAATTTTGATGGAAAAATTGAATCTTTACTCCCAAAAATTGCACAAGACCCTTCATTTTCCCCTCTTTCAATCCCTTCACCATCAAATTTTTCTTCATCAAATCTTGAACTACAACAACATGGTTGTATGCTTCTACTATGACCTTTAGACTCATTTTTCTCAAAATATTGTGAACCAAGTGATTTTGGGCTAAAAAGAACAAGTTTACAAATAAAGTTTGGATTTTTATGACCCCATTTGTTTGATTTTGGAGATGAATTGAGAAAAGAAAGGGTTGAAGGAGAAGAGGATTGAAGAAGAAGAGAATTTTGGAGTTTCATAATTAGTATAATACCTATTTTTTGGTCATTATTTAAGAGTAAATAGGAAAAATGTATGGAGAGGAAGTAGAACAAAATAGGCACAAGAAGTGGTCAAATCAAAACAAAATATGAAAGAAAAAAAAAGAAAAAACAGAAAACCCGTGGGGAAAGGGGACTTTTTTTTTTAGATCTCTAAAAAGGAAGAAAACTATTTTTTTTGAGTTTCAAGATCTTGAAACACTTCAACTAATTCCCACTCTCTTTCGTTAAAAATGTTGACGTAATATATAAATTTTTATTAGATATATTTATTAAAAAAAAATGAGTTTGAAAAATAATAATAAATAATTAATATTAAAGATAAGATATATTTGTCTCTTAATATAGTAAAAGTGAGAATCAGAAGTATTTTAAGAAGTGCAACACATGCATATTCAAAGTATTCAGCAATTAGCTGAAATAAGTTAAATATTGTTTTTTTTGGTACATCCCTAAATTCATTATTTCCAAATTTTCCTTATTTAAAAATATTTCAAAATGAATAATCTATATTTAACTTAAACTTCAAAATATTTCAAAATAAATAAGCTATATTTAGCTTAAACTTCAAAATACTTATAGAGAAAAGTTATCTTTTAGCCTTGTTTTTAACTTCTCGAAAGTTATCATCAAAGAATGTAATAGAATATAGAGTCTTTTTCTTAATCAGAAGTTTCAGCTCTATATTACATAAATTTAAAATAATTGAGCTCGTACATATCGAATCGTTAATCAAAAATAATCTTAAAAGATTATATGCAATATTTTCAACTAGATAATTTAGAATTCTTATACACAAAGATAATTATATCGTTTGAAATTGGACTCTTCTATTAACAAAAAATAAAATAAATTACATTAATTTTATAAAAGAAATACAAGTGAACCAAAAAAAAAACATGATAAGAATGAAAGCAACGTGTATTAACCCAAGTCACACACACGTAAGAGGAAATCATATCCCAATAAATGAAACATAAAATTTCCACCTATATAGTAAGTATTAAAATACGACAATTTTTATTAATTTAAATGCACGCCACTAAACTATATAATAAAAAATAACAAAAATATAACAATCACCTAGCATATTTTCTTGTTCGTTTATATTTGTCTATTACTATCAAAAGTATTTTTATTTTATTTTGTTTAATTTAAAATTATAAAAATATATTTATATTTATTTATTTTTATTATTAAATATTATTTATTTCCTAATTATTAGATAACGTATAATAGTAAGACTGATATATTGAAAGCCTCATTTTTGAATGACACTCTTGTAATACGCTATCCGAATTAAGCTAGAATTCTAAAGCGCACGTCATTGAATTTTAATTTTATTTTACAAAAATATAATAGAATTATTTTTTGAAAAAATCTAAAAAGATAAAAAAGAAAAGTCGAACAATTATAAAAAGAGAAAGTATTCCTATCTTTCACCATTTTTATGAAATTTTACAAAATTAAAAAATTTATAAATTTTGAATTTGCTTCAATTATCTCGCAATAGAAACTTTAAGGCTTCTTCGTCAATTCTCTTCTGGAGTTAATAGAAGTGTAAATATATGACTACGATGATATATTAAAGAAGGTAATCCATTTCAAAATGAATAAATTTTTGGATCGAAATTCACCTTTAAAGAAATTTAGTTAATTGTATTATAGAAAAAAGGTAGAAAATATATTCTTTTAACTTTACGATTTTAGATAGATACATTTACTCATTAAAAAATTGTGCATATATATCTTTATTGTCTAACAAGTTATGCATGTATATATACCATCCTGATCTTATATATATTTGTTTCTTTATCTATTCACTAAGAATCTTTATTTTGTAATTATAAGAATCGAAAAAAATAAATCAAAAAAAAATATGATAATGATAATATATTCATTTAATTTGATATAAACATGAATAAATTTCGACCATATACGTTTAGGTTGATGTTCTACTCAACTTTAGACCTTTAGGGCTTGTATGGTACATAGGACAAATGATAACTAATTTAGAAATTAATTTTTGAATGACTTTATCTGTCTTATAATAACTAATTCTGATTAAATTAAGAAGGGTTTATCTCATATTTGATTGGATAAAATGCAGAATAACTACTTCTGATTAACGTTAAGATGAGTTTATCTCATGTTTAGTTGGATAAGACGCAATGTAACTTATCATAGAATTGTAGTGTTATTTTTATCCTATATTGAAGATAGAATAACAATCCCCTAATAACTGATTCAAAATAACTTGTTCTCGATCAAATGAGTCAATACCATTAAGAGTGACCCATTGCACACCCTCTATCGAAAAAAATATATATTGTATATACTAGTAAAATGATATATGAAGTGATTAAATAACATATTTTAAACACTCTTGACACAATTTATTGTTGTAGTAGCAATTTCAGACCTTTTCAATGGGTATCAAACACCTTGAATGAGTGCGTGTTACTAACACCCTTCATGTTGTCTTTTTTTTTTAAAAAAAACTCTTCGTTCTACAGTTTCTGAACACCATTCGTGAAATTTGTAGCTCTGTCACTAAAATTCATTGTCAATTTTAACGATACGAGAAAAAGCCCAAAATAGTCTCATTCTCTTTTTTGG